GGGTGAAGGAGGGCAAAGGGACCCCTCTGGGGGAGAAGGTAGGCTGGGGATCACTCTGGGGGAGAAGGTGGGCAGGAGGACCCTCCAGGGAAAAGGTGGGAGCCTCTGGGTGAAGGCAGGCCTGGCTTCCTCTGAGAAGGTGGTCAGGGACCCCCAGCAGCAGAGGGACAGGGGGCAGCTGGGGTTTCCTCTTGTTTCTTCCTTCCTGCTCCCTTTCCCCCTGATTCCTGGGAACAGCTAGCCCTCCCACACAGGATCCTTGACTCTCCTGTTGCTGAGCCCCTAGAGGACAGATTTCTGGGGAGCCAGGAGCACCCTGGCACAGGTCAGCTCTGTAAAGGGAGTGATTACCTAGAATTTGAGCCCCCTCCCCTCCTCCCCCAAGGAGCCCCCAGGCCTCCAGTCCAAGTCAGGATTATGGAGCCCTGCTGGTGGCTTCAGGACAGCAGGGGCTGGAGGGATGGGCCAGAAGTGCCACTGCCTTGCTCTGGGCCCTGCAGCCTGACCTGAGTGGTCAGGGTCTGTGGTGCGTGGGGGAAGGGCCAGCTCCGAGGGCTCCTTCCTCCCCGCCTTCTGGAAGCCAGCCCTCTCCTGCCCGCTCCCGGCTGCGTCCATGTGCCGTGGAGTGAGGAGTGAGGAGTGAGGGGCCAGGGGCCAGGAGGTGTTCCCTCCCCTGAGCCTCCTCCCGGGGGATGCTGGCCACCTCAAGCACAGAATGCCAGACTGGAGGGAAAGCCAGGTGCAGGCGCCTCGCAGCAGCACCCCCGACAGGTGCCCAGCTGAGGCCTGCAGCCCCTCAGGGCACCTGGCCCACGTGCCAGCAGTTCATCTGAAGTCCTCCCTCCTCTGGAGGCCAACCTGCTGTGCCAGCTGCCCCCTGGCCTCCCGCCCCGGCAGGTGGGCCCGCCTTAGCAGGGAGGCACCAGCCAGAGAAGCTGGGGGAGGGGAGAGGGACAAGGTCACTCTGCCACTGCCGCCACCTCACTAAGCTCGACCTCAAGTCCTTCCCACCTGAACTGCAGTGGTTGCCCTTCCCCTCTGGGGTCCTTCCTCCTGGAGATGGTGCGGAGGGCTCTGGGAAGCACTGTCCCCCACCAACACCCTGGTGTGGGTCAGTTCAGATAAGCGGTGCCCGGCCTGCAAGTCCGGCTGGCCTGGGCCCTGCTGAGTGACCATCCCCTACAGCAGTACTGGGACGCTCAAACCCGCAGTGTCCACCTCTACCCACTTGTGGTCCAGTGTGGTCAGAAGCTTCTGGAGGCCACTGTGGTGCAGGGCCTCTCCCAACACTTCCCCGTCCTTGTCTGCGAGGACAGTAGTTACCAGTGTGTGTCAAGCACTGACCAGGTGCCATGCCCTGTGCTTGGTTCCCCACAGACTCCAGCAGTGCCTGGGACGTGCTCAGCATCAGCTCTAGGCGGTGACCACTCCACCCTCCGCACTTGCAGGGACACTTCGGCACTGCCGCTCCACAGACAGGTATACAGGACCAATGGGAGTCCTGGGGAGGGGGGGGGGACTCCTGCCATTCTCCAGAAAACGCAGGCTGGAAGCAGTGAAATGCCTCCCAGAGGAGGCAGCTGGCTGACCAGGGGGAGGAGCGGGCTGGGAGCCCAGACTCCCCCAGGCGCCTGGCCATCCTGCCCTCCTGGTCTGTACGTGTCCACGGCCTCTGCGTGTGTCCGCAGAGATGCTTTCCTGTTACTCCAGGCTGTTCGGACGCTGTGGGCCAACTCCAGACGAAAGTAAGGGCCCATGTGGGTGCCAAATGCTCCTTTGTTGGGCTTCCCCATTCTCACCCCCCAGAAAGCCCTCCTTTTCTGAGTCCTCACTCATTGTGCGTTGAGCGCCTGCTGTGTTCGCAGTTTGGTAGCAGTCCCAACTCCTGTGCAGCTCCTTTTGCTGTCAAGGGGGACAGTGACACACGCCCCACAGTGCCCTGGGGACCCAGGCCTGGAGCAGGCCAGGTCACACAGGGAGGGGGAGCACAAGGGGCTGGACTCAAGGCCCCAGGAAGCAGGGGCAGTGGCCTTGAAATGAGGTGTCCCCCAAGCTCTGGCCCTTTCACATGGTCTGCTCTTTGCCTCCACGCCCACCGAGTCCACCCCACTCCTGAGTCTGTGTATAAGCATCAAGACCACCACCCACCCGAGTGGCCAGGGATGCTGCTGGGGTAAGAGGATGGGCTCCCCAGAAGCATGCCCCCCCACCCTCCACCCTGCTGCTCCAAGGAAGCACAGCCACAGCATGCACCCCGCATCCCCCAGCCAGTCCCAAGCGTGAGACACGTATTATTCACCTTATTGCCCAATGGAAAAACAGCACGTTCCAGGACCTGCTGATTCACTCCCTCTCGACAAAATCCACTGAACGCTAGCGCAGCCTTTTCTTTTAATTGTGGTAACATACACAAGATGAAACGTACCATTTTGACCATTTCTGAGTGTACGGTTATGTGGCATGAAGTAAGTTCACACTGTTTGCAGCCGCCATCATGCACCTCTGCCAAGTTTTTCACTGTCCCACCAGTAAACACTAACCCCCATCACTACTCCCCCAGGCCCAGGCACCCACCAGCTACTTCCTGTCTCTATGAACTTGACCACTGTAGGGACCTCAGATAAGTAAGTGGAATCCTACAGTATTTGCCTTCTTGTGACTGGCTTACTTCACCTGGCATCATGTCTTCGAGGTTCATCCATGTTGTAACATGTGAGAGTTCCCTTCCTTTTTAAGACTATTATTTCATTGTGTTTATGATCCGTGTTTGATTTCTCCATTCATTGTTGAAGGACACTTGGGTTGTTCCCACGTTTTGGATGTTGTGAATAATGTTGCTATGAATGTGGGTGTGCAAATATCTGTTCATGTCCCTGCTTTTACTTCTTTTGTGTGTATACCCAGAAGTGAGATTGGTGAATCATATGATAATTCTATTTTTAACATTTTTAAGAACCATGCCATTTTCCACAGCTGCTGCACCATTTTATATTCCCACCAACAGTGCACAAGTGTCCCAATTTCTCCACATCCTCGCCAACACTTGTTATTTTCTGTATGTATGTGTGTGTGTGTGTACATGTGTTGATTATAGCTGTCCTAAAGTAGATGAAGTGATATCTCATTGTGGGGTTTTTTTTTTTTTTGAAGTAAAAATTCTTAATTTCTCAATGTATAGTTCAATATGCTAGTTTTTGATGGCAAAAATTTGGTTCCATTGAAACTCTGATCACTGTGGTTTTGATCTGCATTTCCCTAATGACTGATGATGTTGGGGATCTTCTCATGAGTTTATTGGCCATCTGTACATCTTCTTTGGATAAATGTCTATTTGAGCCTTTTCCTTATTTTGATTTGGGTTGGGTTTTCTTGTTGTTGAATTATAGGAGTTCTTTATATATTCTGGATACTAATCTCTTATCAGATTGGTGATTTGCAAATGTTCTCACATGCTGTCAGTTGTCCTTGCACTCCATGATGATGTACTCTGATGCACAGACGGTTGTAATTTTGAAGAAGTCAGGTTCATCTATTTTGTTTTCTTTTGTTGCCCTTGCATTTTGACGTCACATCCAAAAAACCATTGCCAAATCCAATGTCATGAAGATTTCACCCTGTGTTTCCTCCCAAGATTTTTATAGGTTTAGGTTTAGGCTTTTGATCCATTTTAAGTTAATTTTTGAGTTGAGGTAAGGGTCAATGTCATGCTTTTGCAGGTGGACAGGGAGTCTTCCCAGCACCATTTGTTGAAAGCACTGTCCTTTCCTCATTGAGTGATCATGGCACCCTTGTCAAAATCATTTGACCATGTGGGCAAGGGGTTATTTCTGGGCTTCTTATTGTCTTTCATTGGTCTGTATGTCTAACCTTATA